CCTCTAGTAATATATTTACTGAGAAAAATGGTGACGTGTTCAATACTTATTTTACCCGCTGTATCTTTTATCTAAATGTTTACTATATCTAGCTTTAAGCTAGTATTTTTCAGCTTTTAGTTAGCATTTTGCTGTTTGGGCCTAAAATTTTGCTTCATTTAGTTTTAACTATTCAGTTTTCAGCAGATTTCATTAGTCAGCATCACACTGCATTTTGACAGAAAATTTTTATTTCTTTAGCTTTAATGCAGTATGCTACTTCATTGTTTTCCTTCAAGTTAATTTAGTTATTGTTGGTTCAAAATAATGTAACTAACATCTGTGTTGGAGCTGGAAGGTAAAGGTTTGGTACCTGACAGTTTGGTGACTTCGAAGAACCTAGAGAAGAACATGGGCCACTTCTGTCTGGCGTAGTCGACCATCTCTGCCTTTACTGAGTCAGCTTTTTCTTTTGAACTCAGGAAGGAACTCTGTGGTTTACAATAAATGAAAACAGTTTCATATAATCTGCTCGAAGCTTCTTTTATACATTTAACACAGATAGATGTGACTGACCTGAGCATGAGCCGTGCTGACCATCTGAACCAGCTTGGCTTCTGACTTGGCCTCCAGCAGAGAGGTGGTGATGCAGTCCTGCACGGCCTGCCTCACGTTTTCCGGCCGGCTGTCTGAGCCGTGCTGGATGTACAGATGTTTCGCAGCGAGATCGATTATATCATCCTCCTGTGAGAAGAAAAAAAAAGAAGTTTGGAGAAAAACCGTCAGTTCTGATGCTGGGATTTGGCAGGAACCTGGTTTATGACAGAAGGGGGCCCACCTTTTCAGTCTGGTACTCTCCAAACTTCAGACCGTAGACGACCTGCTTGTAGATGAGGTCTGTGCTGACCTTGTCCTCTTTGCAGTCGTGCCAGGGGGTGAACACCTCCTTGCGGAAGAAGAGACGCCACGGAGCGTGCTGCTCCTGGCCGCCCCTCCTCTTCACTTCCTGCTCGCACTGGGAGATGGCGTCCATGATGTGCTCCCGCCCGCTGCCCAGAGCCCACACCTTCAGGACAAACAAACAGCTAACCCTTTTRGCAAAACAACTTCTCTTTTCTAAATTCAGCAGTTAAAAAGTGGTCTGGAAATGACGAAAAGACCCCCACCTTTTCATACATGCCGACATAAAGAGAAAAGCCGAAAACGTCTGTGAGTTTGATCTTGTTGGAGACGAGCTGGCAGACTTCTTTGGACGTTGAAGCTGAGTCGACAGGAAGGTTGATGGAGCGACCGTCCATCAGCGCCACCGTGACGATCATGGGCTTCTTTGTCTTTGTTGCCTGTCAGTGTGAAGAAATGACCAGTGAGAAGCAAGAAATCTGCTTTTTAAACTTAAAAATACCTTCAGTTAATACAATACATGCATTTTGATCATTTTATCAAAATGCCAAATGAYGGCATCCCACCACTAGGTGGAGCTGAAMAGGGTTCAAAAGTATCCGGTAGCCAGTGAAGATGTAGTGAAAGTGAAATTGAGATTTTACACTGTAAATTTTACTCTATTTTCATCAGGTACYTTTGCTGTGGTACAATTGTACTGGGAAGTGGGAATTTCCCACTTACAAGTCATATATTTAAACTGGAACACCCCTTCAGTGGGAATTCCCTGTCAGAAAGCGGAAGAGTTCAGAATTCAAGATGGTGGCTTCTCACCACAACTCAACTGTAAATAAAAACTCTCTTACTTTTAATAGTATTTCTGTATCATGTGTTTCACGTTTAGTCAGTCGTACAAGTAGTACTATTCAGTGTTTTTAAGAAGATGCGTTAAAATGCTGTTTCCATGCAGAAAATACCAGACGTATGTAAAGTACTTGAAAGTAATAACCAAATAAAGGTAAAAATATCTTAACAGAAAACAACTTCGGTGAAAATGAAGTTTACTGATAAGAAAAGTTTCTTAGTTGAAGTCATAAAACTGCTCACAATAAGGAAAGCAAAAATAACAGTACTTTTACAMACACTTTAAGAAATGAATGAATTTACTTTACCAAATTAGTTCCACTAAACTGCGGTGATTAAACCACCTCARTTTAGTGGAACCAGTTGACATAACGTGATTAAATAAATTCAACACTCCATTTCCTAGAGTGCATAAACAACTATTTAATGATRAGTTTRGTCGTATTTACATTTSTAATGTGCAACTAGRTGTTAAATTTTAAAGTAAAGAAGTAAAAGTAATAGTTAAAACTAAATACTTAGCAAAATTACAAATCCTCAATAAACATTATGTAACAAAGTAAATGTACTTAGCTACAATACAGCTCTGGGAAATACCACGTAGGGCTCATATTGTTTGTTAGCAGTGYTCAACCRTRGGTTAAACACAGACTGCAAACAGATGAAAACATTTTCAGTACCTGCAGCTCCAGCCAGGCCGGAGGCTCTCCTCTCACACCGTTCATCATGGTGCGCCGCAGCTTCTCAGCGCAGTAGGACGGGAAACCACCGGGAGCAAAACTGATAAAGCTCTGGAGGTACTGCAATTACAAGAGAAGCAGAAAACACTGGAGCATGCAGAAGGACTGCTTGATAGGGTTTRRCAATATTGGCAAAAAAATAAATCACAATTAATTTGACAATTAATGCCTCGGAGACCCTGGACACCTTCATGTCCTAGTCAAAAGACCGATTTAGTGGAAAAGATTAGTTCTCTGTAAAAATCTGTTCCAAAGTGTGTCAAAATGACAGACTTCAGGATGCACATCAAATTTTAAATTGTGTTGATAGAGAAATAAATTACAGAACTTCTTTTCTAATGTTCGTCATATTTGAAGCAGAGAGGAGCATCAAGCAGACTGACTGGAGAAATCTGCAGTCAGTCTGCCTGCTGGCATTAATCGTATTAATCATCAAGTGCCAAATAATAATTGATTAATGTTTTTTCTGATGATTAATTGCACACGATACGATTATGCCCAACCCTACTACTTGATTATCAAAAATAATAATAATAATCACGATTACTGAAAAGGTTTATGTCATTTTTTGCTTTTAAAGAAAGCGAAATGCTTTTTCCTATTAAAACTTTCACCTAAATTTACAGTATTATTCAATTTTGGCCACTGTATAACATAAAACACAAGACAAAACATTAAAATCTGAAATTTAATGGAATCTTATGACTCTATGATTCTATTTTCCACCAAGTTTTTTTTTGTTATTTTAAAGTCATGTTAATAATGTAAAACATTTTTAACATAAAAATGTCTCATCATACAGTGGAATATTAAAAAAATGTAATTAAATAGGAAGACATCCAAAATTTTCATGAAAACCTTCACATTTCAACTTCAAATCCACTTTAGATTTCATCATTATTGCAGTAAATATTGTAAAATACTGTATTGTAACTTTGTCTTGATGATGATAATGATGCTCCACTGCAGCCTCATTTTGTTGACAGCTGCTTCAATAAGGAGTTAACAGACTTTTACTGAGCTATGATTCTATTTTGGAGACATTTAATCTAAACAGCTGTAGTTTTATTATTTTTATTGATAACATTTGATTTAATCTGACTGTTTGATGTGTCACAATATTTATAGCGTGTGGCACAGAGAGTATGAGACTGAAACGTTCAGAGGAATGGTTTCACTTACTCTGATGAAGCGCTCGCTTGGAGAAAACACACCCAGGCAGAGGGAGAGCAGGATCCAGCCGCGGAAGTAGCTGTTCCGGTTGTTGTTGTCCTGAAGCTGCTTGCAGATTTGACAGTAAATCTCATCCCTGTGCACAAAATACTTTGTTAGCTTTGCTTTGAAAAGAAGAACGAGCTGCAAGATTATAAATATTAAAGCAAGGAGAAACCTGAGGTCGGGTCTGATGATGCCATAGCCCACGATGATCTGGACTTTTTCAAGGGAGGAGAGGGGCCGGTCCAGAGTGGGTCCCTCTCCAACCATAACATCACTCTCTTCATTCACCGTCTGCAGGGTGGGGGTCTTTGGCACCTCGGTTAGATCATCTGACTGTAGGAGCAAACAGGAAATGTCCATCAGTGAGTTGAAGACAACGGTCGGCAGACACGTCCCTCAGACGTCCGCCTCACCTCCTCCATGATGATGGAGGGCTTCCTGGCACCAGAGCCGGACTTGAAGCTTTCGTTTTCTCTCACAGCAGGGGGTTTTTTGTTCCTGGACAGCAGGTCGGTGAACGTGGAGCCTTTCCTCGCTCGGGTGTTAGCTTCTGGGACGGTGTACACCTTCGGGTTTTGAGCCACGTCGTTAGGAACTGCAGAGGCCTTCCTGTTTTTTGACAGGAGGTCTGTGAAAATGGATCCCTTTCTCTTTTGAGCTGGGTCCTCTGGTGCTGCCGAAGGGTTCCTCTCTTTGTTGCTCCTCAACACTCTCTGAAACCAAACAATTAAGAGAAATCTCTGTGATTCAAAAAAACAAACAAACAAAAAAAAAAAGAATAATATTTTTCCTGTGAGGGTCCGTACCTGATCCGGGCCCACCATATGGCTCAGACGTCTGTCTTTTCTAGACAGCAAGTCCTGTGGCATAAATCGTTCCTGTGCTGGAGTTCCCTGAACTTTGGCTTGTATCTTCGGCTCAGGGAGGTCTCCCATGAATCTCAGAATGATCCACCACACGGTCAGTGAAGCCTGAGGGAAATATGGCAGACCTCACAAACATGTCATGAAACAACAGGACAAATAAAACGTTCAAATTAAAGACRAGGCTTTTCTYAAAGAAATCACCTGCTGCCATTCAYGAGATACCACAATACAGCTCTCAAAGTATGTGCTGTTAATGATCCTCAGCTACCACCACATCTAAATTTGACTAAACGTTTAAATTTAACTGTTGTAGCCATATTTGTGTTAGCTACGTTCTGTTAGCTAACATGTTAGTTCGCAAACAGAGCTGACTTCAACAGTTAATGGCAAAGTTTTGAAACTACTGTAGATCTTATGCAATCATTTAATGCTCAGATTATAAGTTAGGGATGACTTTCAGCTACTACCACACCCATTTTTAGCTCAATATCTGTGAAATTGACTGTGCTATAACAATTTCTGATTGTTATAGGAATGTTTGACGACTTGCACACATTGGTCATGTTACTTCTCTGTTCTATTGAAAATTGTTTTTGACACGCAAAATCTCCTACTTACCTAACAAAAAAAGGTGTGTTCATTACATTTTTCACTTAAGCACATCACCATTTTGTGTGACAGAAAGAATCAAGGCTAAAAAGCTATAATGTGTGACAATAAAGTTTTTGTTTTAGTTGTGCTGCACAATATAGGGTGAAACATTCAAACATGATGTTAAGTAAACTAGCTCAAAAGCTAATGCTATTTGTATTAGCTCTGGAGCTAACACTATATAAACAGTGCATATATATAGTGTATAAATATAGTGTATGTACGTATACTGTCTATAGTGTGTATATATATATATATATATATATATAGTATATAATATATATTTACAGTGTTTGCAAATTTACTAAGAAAGTATTCAGACCCTTTGCTGTGACACTCATATTTAACTCAGATGCTGTCCATTTCCTTCTGACCCTCCTTGAGATGGTTCTACTCCTTCATTGGAGTCCAGCTGTGTTTAATTAAACTGATCGGACTTGATTAGGAAAGGCACACACCTGTCTATATAAGACCTCAGAGCTCACAGCGCATGTCAGAGCAAATGAGAATCAAGAAGTCAAAGGAACTGCCCGAGGAGCTCAGAGACAGAATTGTTCCTAAGAGCACAGTGGCCTCCATACTCCTTAAATAGAATAAGTTTGGGACGACCAGAACTCTTCCTAGGCCTGGCTGTCCAGCCAAACTGAGCAATCGTAGGAGAAGAGCCTTGTAAGAGAGGTAAAGGAGAACACAAAGATCACTGGCTGAGCTCCAGAAGTGCAGTATAGGTGATGGGAGAAAGTTCCACAAAGTCAACTATCACTGCAGCCAGTCAGGGATTTATGGCAGAGTGGCCAGATGGAAGCCTCTCCTCAGTGCAAGACATATGAAAGCCTGCGTATAGTTTACCAAAAAACACATGAAGACTCTAAGCTCTAATTCTAAGCAGTATGTGTGGAGAAAACCAGGCACTGCTCATCTCCTGCCCAATACGATCCCAACAGTGAAACATGGTGGTGGCAGCAACATGCTATGGGGTTGTTTTTCAGCTGCAGGGACAGGACAACAGAGATGTCCTGGAAGAAAACCTCTTCCAGAGTGCTCTGGACCTCAGACTGGGCTGAAGGTTCACCTTCCAACAGGAAATTGACCCTAAGCTAACAGCAAAAATAACAAAGGAGTGGCTTCAGAACAACTCAGTGGCCATTCTTGACTGGCCCAGCCAGAACCCTGACCTAAACCCAATTCAGCATCTCTGGAGATCTGAAAGTGGCTGTCCACCAACGTTCACCATCCAGCCAGACGGAACTGGAGAGGATCTGTAAAGGAGAAGGACAGAGGATCCCCAAATCCAGGTGTGAAAAACTTGTTGCATCATTCCCAACAAGTCTCATGTCTGTAATAGCTCAAAAGGATGCTTCTACTCAATAATGAGCAAATGGCCTTAAATGTATAATTTGACAACTAGTCAGTTCCCTTTAAAAGTAGCGTCGCTGTGACGACCATCTTGAATGTAAAATGTAAATATTTGTAGATGTGCGTTCAGATATTCCTTTCCATCCTCTGGTTCAGGAGATATTTTCTAACACTACAAACAAACGCAAGTAAAGAAAAAATAAAGTAATAGCCTTCAGCAGCGGGCGATAAACATTAAAGGTGTCTAAGAGAATCACCACAGCATCTCCTTCGTCCTCGTGGTAGAGCAGCGACTGCCGAAGCCTCTGTCGAATGTGGGTGTCAGATGCTGCACCCTGGAAATACATAGAGGCAAATTTGGAGAAAGGGTACTCATTCAGGTCATCGTAATCTTCTTTGGGATGTTCTTCCATGGGAAGTTCGTCAATGTCTATCTCCTCAATAACGAGCCGTTTGCCTTCCATATTCTGTAAACACATACAGGTCGATACGATTAAACCAGCCATTATCTGACGAGTCCATACCAGAGAACTGCCAGTTCCCAAACCTCAAAGCCCACAGGCGCCTGACCCTCCTGCCCTCCAACAATGTTGGGCAGGAAGCCGAAGATGGTGTCCACCATCTCCTGGTCTGTGATGTTGTCGGCCTGAGATTTGGCCTCCATCTCTTTCTTCTGCCTCAACACCTCCTCCAAGTGTTGTTGTTTGGCCAAAATGGCTCGCTGTTCTTCTTCTCTTTCTTTGGCAGAAAGGAACATCTGAAAGAATGAAACCCAAACGATCAGTAAAAAAAAACAGAAACACCTTAGGCTGAACACTTTTTAACACATGTCCATTATTAAACCCTACAGTGGGTTGTGTGGCTGAGGATACGTCAACACATTTGTTGAATGAAAATAATTTGTTTAAGCAACATGGTGGTCAGCAGGTTGGCTTTTAAAGGTTGGTCTGATCATTTTTGAATTGACATATCAGATACACTAATCAACTATGGTTTTTGGAAACTCAAACAGAAGTCTTCATCATGGCAAGGTTTAATTCTTAGCCAAACAAGAGCCAGTTTTTATTGTTTTTCAGACATTTAAACCAGTTTTGTATTAAAAACAACATACAGTATTTGTGTGAAGACTTCCACAGCAGTGGTGGGCACAACTAACTAAAAGGTTAGGTTTACTAAACACTAATGCTAACGCTAAACAGTAGAACTGTTTGAAGTCAAACAAATAGCAAATACTTTCTCCACTGTATTTTATATGTTGCCATTTTTTTGTATTTTTTGTTAAATATTGTTAAATGTTTTTTTAATTTTTTTTTCTTAGTTTGAAGTTTAGCTGCTAAAGATGATACATGCTACATGATGCCTGACACGTCCAGCACTACTTGTAAGAGCAGAGATTTTATTTGATTTAGGATAAATTGTATAAAAATACAAGTTTTACACTTGTTTCATTTTTTGATGGACTTAAAATTAGCAAAACCTGATTTAATGGAAGCTAATCAGTCTGTATTAGTTTACAAGTTAGCAAAAAAAGCAAATCCACTAAAAGAGAAGCTAATTTCGCATTTAGCGGATTAGTGCAACTGTTCCCACGATTGTTTTTTCCAATACCATTTGAATTATGCATAATAACTTGGAATGCGGCGTAAAAGTAAACATGTTTGGGACTTTGTGGAAGCCGATGGATTCTTTGAGAAGAACTTACATCCCGTTTCTTTTTTTGGACAGCCTTTTTAGCCAGCAGGCCTCGGGTGTGCGCCTGCAGCAGAATCACTGCATTCCTCTTGCGTTTCCATTCCTTCCTGGCCAGGTAACCTCTGACGTGGCTCTGCAGCAGGAGGGCAGCCTCCCGCTTCTTCTTGTACTGAAAGTGGAGCTGCCGAGAGCGAACGTGTGCCTGAAGCCTCGCAAAGCCCAGCTGGACCTAAAATCAGAATCACTAAAGGGTTAACCTAGGCTTCCAAGGTTAAAGAACGTAAACACTGATCATTTAAAAAGTGACTCACCACTTTGTAAAGCTTTCTGCCTTTATATCCTCTCCAATATTTCTGAATGACAAGCGCAGCGGCCCTTTTCTTCAGGAATTCTCTCCTTTATTAGGTGCAAACCACACAGACATGAAGCTACAGCTTGCACAAAAAAAGAAAAGAATAGATTTGTAGTGTTTTGTTTTGTACCTGTACTTATAGCCCCTCAGCACTTTCTGGATCAAAAGAGCTTTTACATTCAGCTCCTTCATTCTCTCCAGTTCCAGCTGAGTGTCATGAACGTCCTGAGAGAAAACAACAGTTACTATTTTATCATAATAAAACAAAATAAAAATACAATAAAAACATTCAGAATAGACGTGCAGTCCTGAAAAAAGAAAGTCTAACCTCTTTCAGTTTTTCAGTTTTATATATCAGGACATAAAAAGTGGTCTTCCTAGATTCTAAAATCTAACCTCATATTTACAAAAATACACAAGAGATTCCATCAAGTGGTTAATTTTTAACAAAAACAAAGCAGAACTGAATGGGAAAAACTAAAACCAGATTGGGATCTGAGGTTTAGTGTTAACAGGGTTCTGCTAGTCAAATATGTTGATTAAGTGTGAAGTCCTTTAAAAACAACAGGAGTTTTGTTAGTTTGCTGCTCTGAAGCAAACAGATGTTTCACAACGCGATAAGGAAAATATTCAGCAAATGTTTAAAATACTAGAGTCACAACAGTTGCCGCGCATCAAACTGGGAAGCGTAAAAGGTAATTACCAAACACTTTAGAGTCCATCGTTCTACTGAGAAAAATATTATTCACAAGGAAAAAACACTGTAAGACATTCTTCCCAGAAATGGACGTCCCAGTAAATTCACTCCAAAGCCAGACAATGCTCAGAGAAAGTAAACGCAAGGACTTTGTCCCAAAGTCCACAGGCCTCCTTTAGCAAGTTAAAAGTTAAAGGTCATGACAGGACAATTAGAAAAAGACTGATAAAGTAGGGCTTCGTTTGTAATGGTTGCCTCTTATTTCTAAAAAGAACATGGTCTGATTGAACCATAAAACTTCAGAAACAAAATCCTTTGGACAAGTGAGACCAAAATAGAGATGCTTACCCATAATGCACAAAGCCATATTTGGATTAAACTAAATACCTGAAAATATCCTGATTCATCTCAATAATCCAGGTAGAAAAATCTAACAAGATTGAGTCAGGTTCTCTGGACGAGTTCTTTGTTGAAACGTTTTGTCTTTTATCCAAAAGATTTCTTCAATTTGAGGTGTTGCAGTAAACTCAGTCTTGTGAGCAGTACCCTTGCATGGTCATCACATGGGTAACACAATGGTTAGCACTGATGCCTCACAGGAGTAAGTTCCAGGGCATGATCCTCTATTCTGTCTGTGTGGAGTTTGCATGTTCTCTTTGTGTTTGTGTGGGTCTTCTCTGTGTACTCTGGTTTCATCCCACAGACAAAAAACATGCATGTTAGGCTGCCTTGCAAAAGAGATTGGGATCTCAAGGGGATTTACCTGGTTAAACAAAGTTTAATAATGATAGTGGATCAATTAGCAAACTGGTTGATCTGCTATGTGAGGGTACTGCAAGTATAACTAAGTTTATCTGCAACTTCTCAGAGTGAAGAAGTCTTTTGTCCAAGAGAGTACATGTTTCAACAAAAAAGAACCCATCCAAAGAACCTGACTCAACTTTGTTAGACAAACACCTCAAATCAACTGTCAAGCACAGTGGGACCTGGATATCTTGCCATCATAGAGTCAATCACGACCTCAGAGTGGGTTCCAGTGTTCCAGAGTCAAACGTGAAACCATCAGTCCAGCAGCTGAACCAAACTGACTCAATACAACAGGACCCAACACAGCAACAAATCTACAACAAAATGCCCGAAAGACAAAAGAATCAAGGTGTTATATTGGTCCAGTCAAAGTCCAGGCTTCAACCTGGTTTAAATGCTGTGGTGGGATCTTCAAAGAACTGAGCAGAAACTCAGGAACTGAAGCCACATTGGAAAGAAGAGTGGGCCATTATTCCACCACAACCATGTGAAAGACAAAAAGTCTGGCAGAAAACCACTAGTGAGAATCAGTGTTGATAAAAACGGTTTTATAAGCTTTTGGTGGACACATTTTTTTCTATTTGGCTCTGTTTTTGTTTAATAATCAATGACATGGATACAGTATACAGTGCACATTGGGTGCTTTTTTGTAGAATTGAGGTTAGATTTAAAAATGCAGTTCTTAATAAAGATCAGATCATTTTTTTTATGTCTTGACACGTAAAACCTTAGAATTAAAAGAGAGTGGAGACTATGATCCCTTCACACAGAGCATAATTTAAATACAAATGTGAGGCAGCACCTTGAGGAACATCTTTGTCTTGCCAGTCTTCCAGTCGCCTTTTTTAGGTAGCACTCTTTCACAGATGCTCTCACAGCATCTCTCTTTGCTTTCCTTTAACAACACAAACAGCATACATGGTGAGAGAAGCTAAAAAAAGTTTAAGAACATGACTACTCTATTATGTCCAACTCACTGTTTTGGGATCACAGGTAGAGGTCTTCAGAAGGACTCTGTAGCGATCCAGAAACTCGCTGAAGGTGTAGCGTACGGGATACCCAGCCTTCCGGATCTTGATGGTCTCCATCATGCCAGAGTAACGGAGCTGACGCATGCACAGTTCTCTGTCGAACAGCTGACACAGAGATGGGGTTTAGTTTACCTTCAGAGAACAGTGTTGGCRTCTTTGTTCTGGTTGAGTGGAAARACTGTCTCTTCCTCACCATTGGCTTTTTGAAATCATTGGGTTTGATGCAGCGAATGAAGTAAGGCTGACATGCAGTCAGTGTTTTCATCAGAGAATCCAGAGATTGACGGAACTGACCGGTCAGAGTCGGGACTCGTTTCTTCCCATCGGTCCCTTGCTGTCAGACCAAAACAAAGATCACACTTGTTATTTGATGCCATTTACCCCAGGATCACAGCTGAGCCTTCAGAACATTTGAGGTGGAGTTTACCCAAACTGTGTTCTTAGACATGTTGATGACCATCTTGGGGTTGATGCTCTTGATGGTACTGGACATCGGGGTCAGATCATTCTGAAACATCTGCTTGAGGAGTTTGTTGGTGGAGGTCTCAACCAGTTGAATCAGATCTGGGCTGAGCGTATCACGATTTTTCTCAAGGAAACCTAAAATGTTCCAGAGCAAGTTACAACAGGTAAGGCACTGTACCAGAGAGGGATTTGTTGGTTTGAAAATTTTAACAAGCACCTTTTGAATCATAATAGACCTCTCCGGCAAAATGCCGGATTCCAAACTGTGTATCATGATTGTTTTTTGGAGGAATGTAGATGTCTCCTTGGTTGTGAACCTGATTCATCTTAAGGAGCATGGTAGTGTCTGTGCCCTGGAAATAAATCAGAGCACACAAGTGAAACGTGCCGTACTTTATGTTTAAAATGTATGACTATAAGAGGGATAGAGACCTTGGGGAAGCTGCTCTCCTCATCAATCAGTGCCAACATGTTCATAGGTTTGTTTGCCAAAACATCCAGGGTGCGCTGATTGTCCTGGTAGTCGATGTGTTTCCAAACAATGTTCTCACGGGTGTACTCGTCTTGCTCAAGCTTGAACACGTGTTTGACGAAGAACTGCTGCAGCTGCTCATTGGCAAAGTTAATGCACAGTTGCTCAAAGCTGTAGAGACAAACAACAAACAGGTCTTAGTATAAACACAGCAGATCCAAAGTCACAAGAGTTGTTCCAGACAGTGACCTGTTTTGTTTGAAGTTTTCAAAGCCGAAGATGTCAAGAAGGCCTATGGACTGTTGGACATCATTCTCATCCTCGGACGGCTTATAAATAGCAGAGTTGATTTTGTCCACCACCCAGATGAAAAGTCTTCCATATATAGCCTAAAAAGACAAATAATACATAGAATAGTCATGTCAGTCTCCTTTTCAAGCATATGTCTGTAGATTGTTTTGTTCACCCAGTTTTAACTATAAATTCTATATGAAGAGGTTCTTTCAAATAATAAACTATTTCTTTAAAATTTGCCAGACACATTAGGTGTAGTTGCAGCAGTTGTGGGCACAGCTAACCAAAAAGTTAGATTTTCTAACTCATCATCTGCTAAACATATGGGTCTGCTAACAATATGCCACTAATCATGTAAAAATTAACAGAAGCTAACGCTAATCATTAACCGCTAAGACGACTGTCACTCAGTCTACCTCGCACGTCTTTGTCTCCTTCCAGCTGAAGACTGGTGGGACTGACACCAACCTGTTGTTGTTAGCTTGTTTGTTAGCTGCTGGCGAACTTAAAGTTGGCAAAACCTAATTTAGTGAAAGCTAACATTAACCATTATCATCGCTAACCATTATTGCTAACCCCTTTGCGACTGTCACTCAGTCTGTGTCACACGTCTTTGTCTCATTCCCCCTGAAGACTATTGGGACTGGCCTGTTGATGTTAGCTTGTTAGTTAGCTGTTAGCAGATTTAAAATTGGTAAAACCTGTTTTTAAAGTTTATTGGTCCACTAACAGATTTTAAAGTTAATGAAAAGGATAATCCATCCATCTATTATCTATACCAATTTCTTCCTTTCAGGGTTGCAGGGGTCACTAGTGCCCATATCCAGCAGACACAGTGCGAGAGGCGGGGTACATCCTGGACAGGTCGCAAGTCCATCACAGGGACACAGGTAGAGACAAATGAGACAAACAACCATTGACTCACTCACTCACACCTAGGGACAATTTAGAGTTATCAATTAACCTATCGGTGATGATTATAGAGTCTAACAGCTGATCATTCCTCCCATCAGCTGTTAGACTCTATAACACCACCGCTCGCAACAGTCATGATAAGCATCCATGTTTGTGTTTGCACATCAAACAACTCTACCTCTCAATCATTACATAAATAAGAACCAGTGGCAATTCATTTTTTCCTGTACTGGACTTAATGACTGAGTCTGAATCAATTTGCACACCCCTGAGTTCGACTCATGTTGCACACCCCCTCAGGTCATGTCATGACAAATTTTTCCTGTAATTTATATTTTTCTGCACAGTATCATGCCTTGTTTTTCATTTTATCCAATTTCGTCTTGATAGCCCATTACAGTAATGATAATTATTACTTTTAATTTGAACTACAGTATGTTTATTTTTTACTGTTACTATCTTTAATTCTAATATTATTGCTACAATTTATAATGTCACATAGCAAAATACTGTTCCTTTTCAGTCATTTCACTCAGTACAACACACAGTTGTTTATGGGACACGCGCGCCCTCGCGCGCCTGGCTGAACGTCGGGTGACAGGCTCCGCCTTCACCCTATGAGTTCGGAGTCACCAGCGTCATTACTCAGTTCTATCGCCCTTCACCTCGCRATAGTCACCTCTAAACCTGRSCYMACATAGCTGTTGCTAGTTAGCTCAGCTTCTAGAAGGTTCTTAGGCTAGCTTTACTGGTGCTACCACGTTACCTGCTGGTTCGTGTGTCTGTCGCTCGAYGCTACTTAAGTGACCTTTATTTTCTGCTGAAAATCTGTTTTGTGGTTCACGATGAGCACAAAACCACCTTTGAAGAAGCCGAAGTCTTCTGTTCGCCCCTGTTCTCAGGGGTGCGGCTTTAAGCATCGTGAGAAAGACCAGCATGAGGCCAGCCCGGCCTGCCTAGGAATCATTCACGCTCGACGGGCACTTGTGGAGCCCGAGTCCTGCCGGGCCTGTGCCAGACTTTCGTGTCTGACACTGGAGAGGAGAGTGAAATTCCTGGAGAAAAAGCTGGGGGAAACTGCTGTTTTCCGACAAGACCCACTGCTCTCTGAATCCAGCCAGACGGCTCAGTCCGACGAAGACAAGGATTCGGCGGTCGAAGCCCCCGCTGCTAGCTGGGCGGACCAGATGGAGCATGAGGCGGTCTCACCCGACATCGAGGGGGGCGAGACCCAGTTTCTACTGGATCTAAACCAAGAGGAGGACRATGTTCTGCAGATGGAGCAGGAGGTTCTCAGTCTGTCCGAAGATGACGAGGAGCCATGCCCAGCTCACTCCACCCCCGCTGCTGAGAGGGTGGACCAGGATTCGTCTTTCTTGTCCCTGTGCCGCCGAGCTGCTGCTAAACTGGAGGCACAGTGGCCCGACCCCCCACCTGCTCAAAAGCCGTCGAGGTTCGCAGGGTTTTATCTCCCGTCTGAACCGGCTGATGTGAAACACCGTCTGCCTATGTTTCCGGACTTTGTGTCGGAGCTGACGTCTTCTTGGAGCAAACCGCTGTCCATCCGCGCCTTCGTGCCCAGACAGGGTCAGTACTTGGACGTGGAAGGGGCAGACCAAGCAGGCCTGGTGAGCATCCCTCCGATGGAGCCATCTTTAGCCGCTTATTTGGCTCCGTCTCACAACCAGGGTGTGAGCGGTCCCACCCTGCTCCCTTCCAAGCCCTGCAGATTCTCTTCAGCACAGCTGGAGAMAATCTACAAAGCCCAAGGTAACAYCGCCYRTGCGCCGAGCTCYGTCACSATGCTTCAGACCTACCAGGCCATGGCCTTGGCTGAACTGGCAGCTCAGATGCCGCAGGAAAACCCCCTTTTACCCCTGCTGAACGAGATCAGACTGGCGTCAGACCACATTCTGCGTGTGTCCCGCTGTGCAGCACTGTCTCTGGGGAAAGTAATGGCTTCTACTGTGGTGGAGCAGAGGCACCTGTGGCTAACGCTCTCAGAYGTTCCCRACAAGGACAGAGCGGCCTACTTGGATGMACCGATAACGYCTACAGGACTGTTTGGTCAAGCTCTTGACGTCATCCAAACCAAATTTGAACAGAGGAAGAAGCAGGCTGAGGCACTTCGCTGCATCATCCCCAGTCGCGACGCGAAGCCCAWGGYCCCGAGCACATCCAGGTCTGCGTCTCATCCTCCTCTGTTCAAGAAGGCGGCGACGCCCGGGACTTCAAAGGCCCAGCCCGCCGAACCTTCCAGCAAGCCRCAGCCTCCCCGTCAATYGGCATGGAGCAAAGGCCCCCCTCCGAGTCAGCAGGACAGTTCAGCGGCTCGGAAGAAGAAGTCAAAGTCCTCCAAACAGCAGGACTGTCTTCACAGGGACTTCAAAAACAGAGAGACAATGTTCAGCTGCAGTTGAAAAGACATTTAAATGTTTGTGTTTCAGAAAATGGTCCCAAGAGGCGTCGGATTTCAAATGTTCAGTCTCCTCTGTTGTCCCGAAAAATAAACAAAAATCGTAGCCCCCTCCTTGGGTGCAAATTGTGTTTTAAAATGCAAAACTTTAATAAACAGTTCTGCAAATGTTTTCAATATGTCATTAAAGAATTATCTTTGTGCACAAACGAACACAATAAGCTGCAGGGCGACAGTCAATAATGTTGTCCCTTCCCCATCCAG